CCTCCACCTGTTGAGTCCGAGGAGGAGAAATACAGCAGACCAAACATTCCCGCGCCTCCCCCAGTTCCCCGCAGTCCTACACCAGAACCAGAAGAGGAACCAGAACGCGAGCCATCTCCCGTTCGTATTGCTATGCCAGTAGCACGTGGACGAGAACCTGAGGAAATGGAAGCGCCGGAGGAACTTCATGACCATCCAACTCTTGAGCAGGCCATCGAACACGTTCCCCAAGAGAAAGATCTCACCGAGGAACCTGCTGGATATGACCCTGCCCGTGGCGCCGCAGCAGCTGTGGCAGCCGAAACATTTGGACACAGCGCTCCTGCCGTCAATGAAGCATCCGCTGCTAGCGGTAAACGCGCATTGATTCAATACGACTACGAGAAGGCTGAAGATAATGAGTTGGAATTGGTTGAAGGCGAATACGTCATCAACATTGAAATGGTCGATGATGATTGGTGGATGGGCACCAATTCAAAGGGCGAAAGTGGTCTCTTCCCAAGCAACTATGTAGAACTCGTAGAAGATGAAGGAGAGTCGGCACCAGCTCCAGCTCCAAGCCATTACGATGAGCCAGAACCACCTGCACCTGCACATGCTCCAGCTCCAGCAGCTCCAGCAGCCGCACCTGCTCACGCTGCTGGTCCTACGGCTACTACATTATACGACTATGAGGCTGCTGAGGATAATGAATTGAGTTTCCCAGAAGGTGCTACAGTCACTGATTTGGTATGTTTCGCTTATATGCTCACCTCCTTCACTCCCCCTTTCTTTCTCAACGCATTCAAGAACGATTACTAACCCAGTCGATAGGAATTCCCGGATGATGATTGGTGGTTCGGTCACTTCAAAGGACACTCTGGTCTCTTCCCAGCAAACTATGTAGAACTTGACCAATAAGTATCTACATTGGTTGGAATAAATTTAAGGGAAGTGCGAATGCACATGAAGCGACTGACGTCTTTGGGAGGGGCACTTGTGATGTAGTTGAAACTGATTCAACATTATAAAAATTCAGGAGATTTTGTAGATGAGGGTGGCATGAATGGTTTTTCTAGGCAGTTAACTACAACTAGTGAAGCAGAAAAAAAGCGAAATGACGGTGTTCTTGGTCTCTATAAGATATAAGAAGAGAATTGAACATTCTTTCCTCGATGTCGCTGCCTAACATTGCGTGAATTCGATTACACATATTCATTTGTCTTTGTCTCTCGGTAAAGTGGTCAAGTATTCCTCGTTTACCAATCCATTGAGCTTAAGGAGGACTTCCAGTTGCTGCAATCTTGAATACCTCTCAGATCCTTCTATGTATTTGCCATTCACGGTGGCGTTCACATTGTGACAACCACAAGTAGCAAAGCACAAAAATGAAATTATTCAAATCACACATATTCAGACATCACACAGAACCAAGTTATAGCGCATAAATTATTAAATAAAAGTCATTCATTATCTTATCTTAACCAACCAACCACCCTAAAAACTAGCTGGAAGCAGAAAGTCTGTGATCCATTTGAAAAGAGACGCAGACCTGTAAGAACATGAGAGAACTGGATATGTGAGACGAAGGAAAATGCGTGGGAAAGCCGAATTTGTTACTTCAATCATATGAATCTATGAACAAGGTGATTTGATTGTGGAGAACGAGTTGGGACTTCGGGAGGGCGTTGTATCGTTGCTGGCTTGCGAGAAGGGAAAACATTATGGGCAAGTATAAGGCCGTCGATCTATTCGATTGAATCGCGATACTGGAGATGGAGATGTGCTGAGGCGCCAGTGGATTAGGCAATTTCGAGATGGCGTTTATATGGATAAATAGTGGCGGAGAATGCGTGGGTTTGGCAGCAACTTGCTCTAACAACATTCGGCACCTGCGAGGAAAGGGTAAGTGGGTTGTTATGAGAGTGTGGCGTGGTAAGTAAGAGTAGAAGGGTATAGGGAATAACATACATTCAACACAGAGCTCACATCCTTCTTCCATTACGCAACAACAACAGAGGGCTGCAAAACAAGCACCGAGACAACCTTGTCCACCACCGGAACTCTTTGGAGGAGGTTGTTGTTGATATTGCATTTGTTGCTGAAGAGATAATTATTAGTTCAAAGTACTTTTAGATGTGAGGTACATTGCATTGTATCATGCGACGGTGAAGCTATTCCGGTGTTTCTCGGCATTGCGACGGCGCTGAGGTATCGAGGAATTACAGTCATCGCATTATACAGAACAGTGTGTTGAATAAGGATATGCAAATGTACTCACAGGTGGAGGGCCTTGTTGATAGTAGCCTTGTTGTGGTGGTGGTCCTCCATAAGCCTATGTATCACATCAAAGTCAGCTTCTTCTTCTTCCATTCCATGTGCCAAGATTATCCAAGAGATCGCAAGGAGATCGATATGATGGTGACAATATAGGCGAAAACATACATTGGGAGGATATTGAGGTTGACCACCGTATTGGGGTTGTTGATTGTTGTAGTAACCTTGGTTTGACATTGTGTTATTATCTATAATGAGGAGGACAGAGTCTCTGGTCAGTATTCGTTTCGTACAGGTTGAAGCTGTGTCGGAAGAAATGCGCAAACTTACGGAGAGAGGTGATTGATGCGATTGATTGATAAAAAAAACAAATACAAGTAAACGTTGCGAGTGAAAAGGTTGACGTTGAGAAAGAAGAGAGGCCGAACTTCAAAGTTAGATTAGATTGGATTCATCAATAAGAGCTAAAAATCGGTAGAACGGAGGAAGGATGTTCGTTCGAGACACTGCCAAGGAGGGAACCAATTGGGTTGTACTCGCTATAAAAATGCCTAGTACCTAATCGCTGACGAGTGATAAAATATCGAAATAGAACATTAATACCACTAACCTATTAATTACGCCAAGTTATTTGGAATTTCTTTATTTTGGAGTGGATGTGAATACGCAGTCGAGGCAGTCGGTCTCTTTTCCTTCTCTCTCTCTTCCTCTTTTCCTCTTTTCCTCTTGTTCTTATTATAAGCTTTGAGGCTTTTGATGCTTTCAATGCTTGTGAAGTTTAATATTTTGCCCAGATGGTTTTGGATCAGAGAAAGAGTTAGGTCGTCGAGTCAACGGTCTCATTCAAAGAAGGATGGCTCGGGTGGGTATAGGATTTATAGGTGACACTCTTCAAAGTACAGCCAGTACCTTACATTTGTATCATACTTCGTACAGTAGCTATAAGGTAATCATTTCGCAGTTTGAAGTCCTGCGAGTCCTTCCTTTTTGATTGGCTCGACCGGCTCAATATGCAGTATGCAAATAGAAAGAAGGCGCAGATCAAACACCTCATCAGCATGGCTCAGCAATTGTGGCCCTTTTGTTTGGTACAATGCAGTTACCATCTGATGCGCCAACCCGGAACACGGCCATTGTTCCATGCAACTTCTGAAAGAGATTTGCTATTTAATACTATGAACAGCGATCGTTCAGCTTCCCCTGCTTCCAAATCCCCCAATCTAATCCTTATAGGGCGTGAGTGGTCCTAGTATACGCTTAATACGCTACCTCAGCCACCTTTCCCCCGATCGTCACCTTCTCAAGCCTTCCATTATTTTATCGTTGCTGCTGGTTTTACTTCGTTTCCATCATCCGATCTTGTGACTGGGATTGATACTGCAGAATAATCCTTGACTTATTAAAAGCAGCAACAACTTTTAGTATTGTCAGCCACTTTGACCATCCCCCTGTATCCGTCACATATCCGACTTGGCTTCAAGATGTCACTCCAGCTGCCAGGTTACCAGCAGCTTCGCGTTCCCCCCTTTATCTATACCACAAGATTGCTGCGTGGCGTGCAAGTTTGTGCTTCTCCAACTGCAAAGTGTTGTGGTATCTGTCCTACAATATATGCACCCTGCTGTGTGCGCGCAGGTATGCAGTGGAGCACCAGTGACCTGGGGAAACCGAACATTAATTTTGCAATCGCTGAAAATCCATGTCGCTTTGCGCTATCCGTTGAAGGTCTAGTTCAATATTGATTGTCCTGGGGTAGTCCTAGTTTAACCTTACGGGTCATTCATACCTCGTACATAAAGTATCAATAATTCACGAAACGAAGAAGAGCCGCCGTGTACTATGTTGCTGACGACCTGCTCTACAATTATCGTTGCAGAAAACACATCAGCGACTACCGAGTGCTCAGAATGTGTTCCATTCCCTCAGAAATCGAACAAGAACTTTGAGGGACACAAGTCGCTTTCATAGTAGTCAGAGTGAAAGAGCAGGACACTCTGAAGACCTCCAGACTGTGGTATATGAATCAAATTCCCTCTCAATCTTCCACATACGACCATAGACTGAGAAAACTAGGGCATCCCGTCCGCTCTGCCATACTCAAGACTCAAATCGGTAAATCAGTAATTGAGTGGGTGACCATCAGCGAATCCTTACTGTTGTATTTTTTTAACCTTTGGCTTTTGTTGTGTTGGTGGGTGACGATGTCAAAGTGGGCCACAGTTTTGCGATATCCATTTCATGTGCAGAGCAACGCTTGTCAAAAGCTGCTCTATTCTTCTTGCCAGGGCCTTCAGATTTATGCAGTCGTTGAGCATTGGAAGTTCATATCTATACCACAATGATTGTTAGCAGTATTATGTATCAGAAAATATTCTTTTACATGTTCGATTTTCCTGTCTGTCTACTAAAGGCATTCAAGCGAATGTCTGTTTCCTCCAGAAAGCAGAGTCAATCTTTTGGTCCGGTCATTCAATGACATGACAAGTGGGTTATTTTTCATGAATATCACGGACTCTAATCGGTGCCTTGTCTATGCAACATACGGTGAGCTGGAATCAGTATATCACTGACCCCCAGAACAACGACAAGTTGAGGCGTGGCCATTTGAAACATCGAAAACAGTACGATTTTTGATATATCCAGACATGTGGATTTGAAGCGGATTGTCCGGGATCGCTAAGACTCGAATTGAGATCATTCGCTTGAAATTTGAGTATTCGAGAAAGGAAAGGTCCGCTGATTTCATGGATGCACGAAAGAGAAAGTGTAAGTTGGTCTCAGGCGAGGAAAGTCCATCGGAAGTTAAAACGGATGGACGATACAAAGAGAATGAGTTGGCGATCACAGAGACAGGTCAATTCAAAAAGTTCGGGAGACGGTACATGGGAGACGGCACATGGAAGTTGGAACTCGGAACAATGGAAGAGAAAATCAAATCACCTTGGCCCGAATTGCATCCGCATCATCCACATGGCAACAAGGATTTAGAAGGACAATCTCGAGCTAGCTTCGAATGCGTATACTAACTAGGTATACCAACTAGGTAAACCTTGAAATTGGTTCGACTAAGGTATGGAATCAAGGAATGTGTTGTGAGGCCTCCAAATCATGGAAATGAGGTTGATGATGTCTTGACATAGATGGTGTATTTTCCCAGATTAGCTCAAATCTGAGGGTGGATAGTTCGAAATCTTGAAACCAAGATCAGCATCAAGTAGTATCAAGACCAGAGGCTTTAGTATTCTGCATAGTAGTGACTGGTTTATACGTAAGTGAAATTGATATAAGCTTGTTGTTATAATCTCGGAGAAAGGCCGGGCGATGATCACCATGAGTGTAGAAATGTTAAATCTATCGTGGGAATCACCTTCACCGGGAGAAATTTCCAAGATAACAAGTTCATCGGGTATTACCACCGACGAAGCTCATTGGGAGCATAACACACAAACTTAGCTTGCAAAAGGATTTTGTGCTAGATCTCATATTTTCCATGTTGCTCCTACAATTAAATTTCAATACTATATGAACAATTGCAATGAGGAAAGATAATATTACCATACAGCAGCTCTTACAACAAACCAATTATGTTGGATTATTAATCACTTTTGTAATTGTCTCTTTTCTATGGAATGATTGAGAAATTTGTCGCTTGGGATGACGCGATGAGGCTAGCCATTTGATAGCGATTAGAAAATATATCTCCGGCCTCGCAACTTCCCTTACCCATCAACCAGAACTATTTTAACTAAATCTTCGTCTATTCATCATTGATTCGACTAACATTTCGATACCAACCTACCTACCTACTTTCCGTAAACTGAACAAGAGAAACTCTATACACCCCACGATTTCTTAAATAAAGCAACGAAACTACCCCCCACCAGCAACATCCACCCCACTACAAACAGAGAAAAGTATCAAGATGTCAACTCTTATCGATATTACAACAGAAGAAGAATGGCAGAAGCACACTGAATCTCTGCCATCATCGACTCTGCAGATCATCAACTTTCACGTACGTTTCTTCATCCACCGCCCCTCATCCACCCTCTTCAAACCTTGACTAATGCGACAAATACTAGGCACCATGGGCAGCACCATGCGCGCAAATGTAAGACTTCCCCGGATCCATCGTCATCAACCCCTCTTCTACTTTAGCTTCGCTCCAGTTTCTTTCAGTTGCCCACATTTTTAGACAACCTTACTGATTCTCACACTAGGACAACCGTCCTCCGTACCCTCGCGCTATCCTATCCCCCAACGACACCCCCAACCACCTCGTGGGTTTCCATGAATGCTGAAGAAGTAATTTCCGTCTCCGATGCTTTTGACGTAACCGCGGTCCCATACCTCGTCCTCACCCGCAACAATGTAGTCCTCGAGACCGTCTCCGGCAGCGACGCCACCAAAGTCCGCAATGCCATTGAAAAACACGCCAACTCCCCCTCCTCCTCCACAAACGGTACACCTGCCAAGCCCGTCCCCAGTATAAACCATGCCTCTACCGCGCCATCAGCAACCGCACCTACCACTTCTACCGAATCCGAAGAGCCAATGTCTAAAGAAGATCTCCACGCTCGCTTATCCAATCTTGTAAAGGCAGCTCCTGTGATGTTATTCATGAAAGGAACACCTTCCGCACCCCAATGCGGTTTTTCCCGTCAACTCGTTGCTTTATTGAGAGAAAAATCGGTGAAATATGGATTCTTTAATATTTTGGCCGATGATGAGGTAAGGCAGGGTCTGAAGGAATTTGCGGATTGGCCTACTTTCCCACAATTATGGATGGATGGAGAACTTGTTGGAGGTCTGGATATTGTAAGTTCTTCCCTATATAATTTTGTTCTGGGGTAGAAACCGGACTCGAGCAATATGTCCCGGTATTGCTCATGTCCGGTATCCAGATTCCTAGATACTCAGCTTACATATTGGTGAAATCCATTTCTAACTAAATACATTACAGGTCAAAGAAGAAGCAGCAAATGATCCAGATTTCTTCACTGCATATAGTGTTGCTAAACCAGCAGCAGCGGCGTAGAAAAGGAGAAGGTTGGGAATTTGATAATATCGGACACTAGGAAAAACCAGGAGATATACCCTATTAAAGACATTTTTTGCGCATGATTTCATGAATTGCTACACTGTGATCTGCATTACGTGAGAACTCAAGCTTATAATTCATGATTTCGAAACGATCTTAGTGTATTCTGGACAGAAAAAGTTGATAAACAGACAACTCATGATCCTTCCCAGTGGAATGCATCGTCAACTCTTGGCAAGCTTCATAGTAAAGCTCACTTCAATCATCCATCGCGTATTTTTTCCTTGATTTGCGCAAGGACAAGGCACTATAATTCCAAGGTTCCCAGAAAGCTTTCAAAGTGTATGAAGATCACATCACATCACCAGAGCAATAGTAACAACAATGATTTTGGGGTTTTCTCATCTATTTTTTCTATTTTTTTGGCACCAATCGAGTGGCCGAATCAAAGACATCCTAAAAGCCTAAAGAACCTCTTACTCTTCACCCAATTCCCAGATCGACTCTTACTATACATTTTATACCCAGCCTGGCCTATACACCGTTCTCCATACGCCCCCGTGAAAATATCAATAGCAACGTAACCAACAAACTATATTCCAACCTTTTTAATCCTCAGGTAGCGCGAAATGGGTTTTGAAATCAAAGTGTGTACTCCAACCTTTTCCCCCTTACGTGGCACCGAAAGAATTGCAAAATCAATTAAACAAAAATCAAATAGCAAAATCAAATGTGTGATTAGAAAGGTTTGAGATGGTGCAACAAATTAGTTTTTACTAGTAGTAATTCCTTCGCCTTTACTCCACACAAGTAGCGCCTTGGTATAGCGATTTAGTGGTTGTATCCATCAGGGATCTCCAACTGTCCTTGATACTTGGAATCCGCATCCTGTCCTCCCCAGTACTTCTTGATAGCAGGCAAGACGGTTCGCTTATTAACCACCAACTTGGTGTTTGGCACGGGCTGGGGTGCCCATCCAACTGACGCGGCAAGGAAACCAGGATAACTGTGGTTGAAGTAGCGGGTCTCGAGGAGGCCGTGAGTCCAGCTGCGAAGCTTGTCGCCGGTCTTCTCGGCAATGAACTTGAAGACATTAGCGCCAACGTCGTAGCGACCAAGGGTGTGGAGTCCCCAGTTGGCTTCGACGGTGGAGATTTTAGAGTAATGGTTGTAGTAAGTGTCGTCGGTGGTGTTGTGGAGGTGCTTCGGAACGACGTCACCGAGGAGGATAGTAAGAACACGATTTTGACGGGAGTAGACCTCGTTTTCATCGAAGGTGATGACGACAAGAGTGTTGTTCATGAAGTGAGGATTGGTAAGGAGGGGGTTAAGGAGGTTGTAGAGATACTCGCCTGCGACGGTGACGGAGCTATCGTGAGCGTCGGAGGTCATGTTGGGGGTAAAGAAGATCCATTGGGGCAGTGTGTTTGCAGCAACATCTTGGTGGAATAAGGTCTGGTTCTTGATCAATTGAAGACGTTCGGGCTTGTTAACGACATTGTTGAAGAGGACTTCAGGGCTAGGTTGATGTCAATATACTGGAATGTTTTGGTGATTTGATCAAACTTACTTGTGCTTGCGAACATATGCATCGGCACCGGTCACTTCGTTGCGCCACTCCATACCTTGAAAACCAGTATATGGCATATCTTCCTGGTACTCAGCCCAAGTGATTCCCTTGTCTTCGAGGAGATCGACTATAGAGGAAACGTTGGTAGGAACAGTAGTAAATGGGTCACCATCGAGACCGAAATAATCACTGCATCAATGTAAGTCATTGTGACCGGATAATCTAGTATAGAATTCAAACTCACCCTGCACTGGATGCGAGGTAATTTGGTTCACTTGGATGTGTTACCGCTAGGTAGTTTGTCAATGTAATACCCATCTCTGCGAAGTATTTGAAGTTTGCTGTATAGATATCAGTACACATGTTATTATTTCTCTTCTGGGAAAGGGCAACTTACGGTCTGCAATAGCAGTCTCGTAATCAGTATTCTCAAACCAGATGTTAAAAACTCGATCGAACACCTCTCCCTTGACGCAACTGGTAGGACTTCTGTGTGATGCATACTGTTGGGCGTGGAGAACAGCCTTATGGCCGAATGCTGTAGGGTGAGAAATGTGTCCATCAGCAATAGTGTTTTCAGGCTCTTCATCTCTCTTGGAGATCGTAGCTGCAAGCCCCACTGTGATCAGGGCCCAAACCACAGTATTTCGGAGAGTACTTTGATGCATCTTGATAACTTTGGATTTTCTTGACTCTGAAGATTTGAAAAGAAGTGGGAGATTGTGAGATCTTTATTGCTTTAAAGCTGACTACTGGAATCACTAAATCCAGGCTAAACTTCCCATGAAATATCTCAACATCACTCCTTGGAACTATCGAAGTTTTCAAGCTAATTACCAAATCCAAGATGCTGGGAATGGACCAACACTATGTATATAACTAGCACCCTGGTAGATCGTAACTAGTAAATCAACAACCTCGGACAAAGGGTAAAGTAAAGAGGAAGGTCAGTAAAGCCATATCTGCGGTGTAAAAAGGGCTATAGCTGGACATCCCGTTAGAAATCTTTCAACCTATGAGATTCCAGATGTTGGTAAGTTGAGATGATATTGGATGGAAGTCATATATTGATGCATCTTTTTGACCTGCCTCATCAAGAATTGAGCATATCCGATTTATCCAGTACTTTCATTCCTGGCCATAGAATACATGCACGAGCACGCAGATACTGCAGTTTGTAGGGTGACAAGGATGACATTGTGCCGCGATCTCTCGGAAGAGCGGGGAGAGGCGATGACCCTTCGCACTTGTTAGTTGTTATGCGGAGTATCTATCTACTGCAAAGTGCCAATGGATAGTAGTACCAAAAGTACCCCTGTCGAACAAGATTTCTTGGGGGGGAGAAGAGTAGCCAACCATCGATCTTCAATTGATAATAAATACCACACATGATGTACTCATTAGCAACTGGAACTGCGCAGTATAGGAGATAGTAGAGTACAAGCAAACACTTGTCGTCATCTATGAGCTCCTTAGCACCCGGCATCATACAATCCATCAGCTTTTGTCTCGTCTGATGTTGTCAGGTCAAACTCACATTGGAAAGGCTCGAAAGGTTAGCTAGAATGAAGAGTTTTCCCACGCCCTTCCCCTGGTACCTACTATCTAGGTGATTAGCACAAGTCTGACGGAGAATATTATTCCCTAGTATCTATGTAGTATGGAACTTAATGAAAGTGGTATCTACTAAACTATTTCGTGGTTAGACTTAACGTTCGTTCATGTAGCTAAAATGGTAGGTGCTTAGTTGATTAGCTCGATTACCTCTTTCGGCCTAGCGAGCCGAGGCATATCCCGCTAAAACCTGACATCCAAACCTAAGAAATGCTTATCTCGCAGTCCCGTGGGGAAAATGCATCATCCTATTGGAGAACATGACGGATAACAAAGAGGGGTGAAAGGAATCTAGATGCCACTCCAATAATTTATTGGCAATCAATTCAATGGATCATCATTTTACTTCTTTAGTTGTTCTACGAGTATAATCCACGAGTAATTGATCGCAGTAATCATTATCTAAAGCGTGCAAACGCAAGTGATCTTCCCTCCGATCCCGAGACACGTGCATCCAGTGTATGGCCAATCCGAATTTGGTTGAACTGCTAACTTTGAGGACTCAATATACTGATCTAATCCGGCTCTGAAGTCCGCTTTTAACTTTACGTTGTATATTGACGACATTGTTTTCCAATACTTGAACCATTTGTCGTCAAAAACAGTCTGGTCATTCTCATGCCATTCGGCAGACAAGAAAGATGACATCGTCTTAATCAACTTCGTCACATCAACCATACTTTAATTCATTTAGTTGAAGAGGGAAACGTCATTGCTTTGAGGTTGGAATTTCCCAGGCTTGGAATGCTTGACAAATTTGTAGCATCTCAGCAACATCACGAACAAGATTGATGAGAATTTGTTTGAAGATCCAGCAATGTCTGTCTTTACCGACGAGCGATCCTCAGGATCCAACGATAGTCTTGATGATGTTGAAATGCAGGAGGTCAGGGGAGAAAAAGATGATTATGGACATCAAAAAATGAGACTGTTGTCGAATAAGAGAAACAGCGTATCACCCCATAGATCTTTAGAGTCAAGCGAGAAGTTGGATGATGTTGAAATGCAAGGGAGAGATGATGATTATGGAGATCAAGATGGATTGTTGTCAAGCGGAAATCGAAAGGGTAAACGAACACTAGAGCCTGAATTCGAAACAAAATGGCATCTAAGAACTCCTTGGGTGGTATTTCTATCATTTTCGACAGCGATAGCAACTATCCTCACAATGTGGAAGATTGCATCGTATATCACCTCTAAAGGTAACACAGTGATTGACTATCCGAATCCAACATCCAGCGGCTTCCGTAGGTCAGCAAGTGACTACGAATTGAATCCGAATTGGGATTTTGATGCTTCCCCAAAAGTTCGTACATATCACTGGACCATCAAAGATATCGAGGCAAATCCAGACGGTGTTTTTCGACCAATGATCACCATTAACTCGCAATTTCCTGGTCCAATGATCGAATGTAATGAGGGAGATGTTATAATTATTGATGTTGACAATCAAGCCGTCAACGCTACATCTATACATTTTCATGGCATCTTTCAAAATGGAACCAACCATATGGATGGTACTACAGGCATAACACAATGTCCTATTGCACCAGGCAATAAATTTCGATATCAGTTCAACGTCACGGGTCAATCTGGCACCTATTACTACCATGGACATCAAGCTGTACAAATTTCTGATGGGCTATACGGGCCACTGATTATCCATTCTAAGAAAGAGAAGACTTTACAGCCAATCTCATATTCTACAGATCGGGTAATCATGCTCCAAGATTATTATCATGAGTTGAGTAGTGGGCTCACGATGAAAAACCTTGAGCCTGATAGTGAAGCCTCGCCGATTCCTGACGGAGCACTAATTAATGGACTTAACAGCGTAGACTGTTCCGTTCTACCACATCGAACATGTGACAACTCGACAGCAATTCTCCCTTCATTCGATTTAGCCGCCAATGAAAATCATCGACTAAGATTTATCAATACTGGCGCATTCGCTTGGTTTCAAGTCGGCTTGGACGAGCACGAGTTTGCCATCACTGAAGTTGATGGAACGGACATCATGCCATCATACGATACCCGCATGATGATCAGTCCTGCACAACGCTACAGTATGATTGTGAATACAAATCGCAACTCGACGGATGCATTTTGGCTCAGAGCAAGAATGGTAACTCATTGCTGGAAAGAACCCAGTCTACCAGCCAATGGAGCTGATGAAGTTCGAGCCGTCATCCGTTACACCGATAGAGATACACCTCAAACCATGGCCTCTAAGCCAACTTCTCAAGAGTGGAAGAAGCCAATCGAAACATGGTGCAAAGACATGAACACCACCAGTTTCATACCCACCTCCTTTGAACCTGCCCCGCAAATAGCAGATCATAGCTATTTCATCCGCGTAAATCTTGAAAGACATTATTGGCGTCTCCAGCGAGGCTATCTCAATAGCTCTACTTTCCGCCCTCAAGTTCATCAACCAACACTCCATCGTACAATCGATGGTTTCTCAACCATGAACGAATCATTTACATCCATGGCCCAGACCAATGGCGTAAACTCGATATCTTATAACCAGGAAAATGACTATTTGATTCAGCATTCCGGAGTCAAAGTCGTTGATATAATCATCCGAAACTTCGACGAAGGAAACCACCCTATGCATTTACACGGTCATAAAGTCTGGATTCTTGGCCAAGGACACGGTGACTTCCCCGGGTATCAAGCTCTACACCTTCAACCAGAAGGTCGTGGTACATTGCCAGGCCATGAGCATGCGTTAGACAATTTAATTAGAAGGGATGTAGCAACTGTAGAAGGATTCGGATGGCTAGCTCTTCGATTCGTGGCGGATAATCCAGGAGTATGGGCGTTTCATTGTCATATGATGTGGCATGGAGAAGCGGGCATGGCTATGCAATTCATGGATCGAGTTGATGAAGTCATGAAGATGCAGATTCCGGAGGAGAACCAAAAACTGTGTCAAGCGAATGTCAAGGAATTGGAGAAGGGAGGTATTCCTAAGGATGAAATTTGGTTTGGATTCGGCCCAGAGGATGAGTGAGGATGATCGATTGATGTTAGAGATTCTCATGAGATGATGCTGGAAGTGGTGGTTTACAGTTCCATTCTGTCAAATTCACAGAAACGATACGCATGCCATCAAACCTTTCATCGTTTAGATGGGTAAGACGCCATGTGGTCAAGTTTATGGGATAAATTATCTATCCCCCCATCCAACATAATGAGCTTCTACGCGGAAGCAATGCTTTAAAGTCTACAACATGATTTTTCGACACTGTTGAATCCTCTAATTGAGATGGTTAGCGAGGGATCTCTTGCAAATGATGTTTTCGGGCCCTGGGCCAGAAGAACTACACATAAGACTCTAATAACCCAGGAAACATTCAGCTATGACTACTCGGGAGTCATGGGGGAGGAGTAGTTAATACAGTCGTGGATAACAGCATGGAGTGTTGAGTTCATCGTGCGGGGTATTAATACTTCCTCCTCTCTTCTTCTGCAATGTAAGAGAGGAGGAAAAGAAGGAGGAGAAATGTTCGAATAGGCTACTTTGGGTTTACCTTCTATCTAGACGATGCTATCCGGCTCGTGTGTAGATTTGTGTTATATTTAGATAGATGTATATATAGCTATAGTTGAAGGACCAGAATAATGAAAAAATGCAGTAAAAGAAATACGTATCGAATTGAAAATTAGATGATAGTGTTGTGAGGTATATGATTATATCACAATATATCAGACTCCTATTTCTCTCTATATACCCCTCTCCCTCTCTGTACCCATATCATCCATCCATCCATTCCACCAACCTCCCCACCTCCAATTCAACGCAATACGACACAGTAAGAAACCAATATACAACAAACACCATTGTGACACATGTATACATTTAACACTCTCATTCCTTTAAAAGCTTCTGGATTAAATAATCCCTATGAAAGAAATTCTTCTAGACGAAACCTCTCTCTTTCTCCCCTCTCCCCTTTCTCCCGTCCTCAACAAATCACAATACCGAAAACATTCCCTGGAAAATCTCATTTTCTATCACCTCCAGCTATGTATGCCATTCTCTATTCCGAATCCATTTCCATTTCCAAGTCCAGTTCCACTCTAAAACATAATTCCTCTACATGACCATCTGCAGAAAAGATATATATTGTGACTAACCCCCCTTGTTCATCAACCCAGTCTATAGATTTGAGTGATTGGATCGGATTTGCTGATAGTGGATGTAATCCTGGATGACGATACCATCCATTATCGATTTCTTCATAAAGAGATGAGATTCATCGGATTGTTTTTTGTTATATTGATATATTAATATATTGATGGAGGTTTACTGGGGGAGTTATGTATCTGGTATTTGCATTATGACTTATTGGAAAGATGATTGGGAACCTTGGAATTGTAAGGTGGGATTTGGAGGTAGTGGTGAGAGAGGAGAGGAGAGGAGAGTGTGAGAGTGAGAGGACGTGATTTGACTTTGAGGTACTTTGGAGGGTTGGAAGGGAGGAGAGATGGTTATGCAGGTATAAAATGATTTTCCCGGATGATTCTCCCGGATTGGACACTGTAAGAAGTCACATTTTCTTGGCTGATCTGTTTGGATCATGGTATTCGGACTACTGGATAGAACGCATCTATCTGACTATTGCGTTCGGAGTATATCTGTATTGTGGTTACAGTGTCCAGTCTTGTTTGAAGGGTTGAGATCCTTATAGAGTCCTACTGGGGTATATTCCGGTGTCTATGGGAGTTTATTTGGTTTGGATGATGTGTTGAGACATTGAAGCGTTATCAATGGCATCCATTCTTACTTTACATTTTCGAATCCTCGACAGACTTGGCCATGTGCATGTTATATTTGATATGACAATGAAGTGGAAGAGGGACCCACGTATCAAAAGTATACTTACACTTTGTACGCCCCGAGATATTCTGGTGTCTCAACAAGACTGACTCATCAAGTCATGAAATATTGAAGTACACGACACTTTGTAAAAGTACCTACATAGTGTATCATGGGAATAAAAAAAGATACCTAAAACTTTCATATCTGAAAGGTGGTGTAAGTTCTGAACAATCATCACCTTGCTTTTTTCAAACCGAATCCTCTACCAACCAAGTACAACCGGAAGAAAGTCCTTTTCGTTTCCGAAAATGAATGACTTTGTTTTAAACAGGAGATTGGTCTACTGTACTCCCCAAACTCCACACCGAGTTTCGGAGTCCCCGGAGGTGGACATTCGGTTTTGCTGCTTAGAAGTTTCTGGGGACGCCGCACGACTTTTTACTTTTCGGAGATTTTGAATAATAAACTCATTTGACCTCCTTGAAGTTCTTCTCACTCAGCTTCCCGATGAATGGAAGGTTACAGGTGCTCCAGCTCTAAGTAGTGCCAACTCAACCACTTTTATTTCAATACCGGCTACCGGACTGAAGTGATACCTGGTGACGATGGTGATTATGAAGTATGTTGTGCGCATCTCCACAAAGTCTAGCCAAGGCGATTATCCTTGACGCCTCCTACACGAATGATATGAAAACTAAACACAAGGCTGAGTGAAAGCGCGAGAAGCATTTGTATGGTGACACATGACCGTGTCGTAACGCGTGTGTTGCATTGCAAGTACCGGAAGAGGACTCGGAGGCCTACCCGCAAGATCGATGAATGTAACATGCACTCACTGCCACTTACGAGGCTACCAATACTTCCGCCCCTCCGCTTCACCAAACCCATCTGAAATATCCAATTTCTGGCGGGAATTTCGGTTTGAATCACGCTTGGCTTGGACTGCCAATATGTGATATGCGACCTTGACCACGTCTCCCTCAGCATCAAAATCCGGATTTTTGAGTTCGCCGAGAGAAAATCAATATTAGCAGCACCAAAGTTTCCTTCACAAGACTATCGACAACATCGCAATGTTTGTTGTACACTAATAAGCACACGGTCATTTACCAACAATTTCCGTCTTGGCCGGCCGACCATATCTAGATTTGAAGACATTGCCAAGTCCGGACCGGGCATCCGCGTGTAAGATGATTCTTTTGCTCCGCAGCGATACGGATCTGATCTGCTTGCGACTGCGATACCAAGATGAAGATCGAAATTTGCGTGTTTGGCGAAGGACGATGCGATGTTTGGATGTGGGGCTGGGCAGAGAATCCCAAGACCGGAGGGGTGAGATTTCGAGGCAGTTGAGTACCGAAGAATGGCCTGGTAACCCTTATTGTTTGTAATTTATTTATTTATAACTTTTGCGCAAAGATCATTTGGCTGCCGTGCTGCTAATCATACTGGACATCCATACAGATCTAGTATATAGTACACGCTCAAGAGTGAAGAGTCAAGGGTAGATCTTAGATTCTTATTGGAATATCATAAAGATGTCAAGGCTGCTGGCCCTCCCCCCCACACTGCCGTCTCAAAGTGGTTATGTCTGAGACTGTTGATTGCGGACAAGTATGTAGGTATCTGGGCACTGAAACATAGGTAATGGAATTGTTTCTACCAGTCCCAGTAGTTTGGATTAATTTCCAAAATTCAAATTCAAATCCAAATCACAATCAAGAATTCAGCAAATCCTTATCTCTCAACAAAACAAAACATATTGTACAGAGTAATCTTCTTGGATTGTGGATTATGGATTGTGGATTGTGGATGTGACGCTTATTGCAACATGGCTGAGTATCTTAGGATGGATCTTAGGATAGATAGGGAGTAGGTAGTAGGTAGGTAGTAGGTATATCTGAAGAATGTTTGTGACAGTTTTAACCCTCCCTGCATTGATACTTTGAACCTATGAAATGAGTCGCAAAGGGCACGCTGTGTGCATTATTGGCCATGTTCAAGCAATGCCCAATTCCATACAAAGGAATATTCTTGGGGGTGGGATACTAATTTTCAGCCGGTGAATGCTTTTTCATGCGGTGTACAGATAAAACAGATAAAACAGATAAAACTCCATACGATGCTTTTCCCCCGAGATGAGATGGGGGTGAAGATGTAAGATGGATCAGGAGGACGGATACTGACGATGATGATGATGATGATGAGTGGTCGTAAAGGATGGGAGATGGAAGGAATAGAATTTAATGAATCTCTTTGTTGAGTTTGCAATCAGCCACTGTAACCTTATTAATCTTTCAGCTGTTTTGAACGAAAGGTTTCTAGATTCTTTCATTGATTGATATATTGAGGTTGATAGATATCACGAAGGCGAAGGCTGTGTCCACTTGAGTACTGAATACCGAGTACTGAGTAATAATTATATTGGACGGAATGAGGTTGAAGACATAGGAGGGAGGCTCTTTATGGAATCATATTATATCACATTGCATTCTTCACTCACACTCTACTAAGATACTCTACTAGGTATACGAACACAACATCCTGTTCTTCAAAGTCAGCAGACTGTCACACAAACCTACCTACCTGTCTATCTTCCAGTCTAACGTTACCACCATAATAACTAAGTGAAGCTCGCAAATATAAATCTCGAGCCTTCTTGCCACTCAATCGCTCACTCACTCACTCACTCACTCACTCACTCACTCACTCACTCACTCTCATTTCACTCCATCTCCCCCCCCAACTTCAACAATTTACAACATCAATCAAAACAATTCCAAGAAATCGAGCTACCCTTGCAACATACCACATCAACCTCTCCCCTTCCCATGGGCCATTATCCATTGCTGCATTTAGCCTCATCTTTTTTTTGATATATCCCTGGCCTGTTTCTTTGCCCTGCATTTCCAAGACTTTCCAAGGCGAGTCTAGTGCGTGTAGTGTTTTACTGATAGGCTTTCCAGAAAGTCTTATCGAGAAGGATTTACATCTGGATTCGGCTTTCGGAGCACCAGATGGGAACTTGATATTGAGGTCATAATCCATCGTCAACCTCAAGAATTGAAAGGAGCATCGGTTCAATTCGTTTTACATTACGAAGAAGTCAACTTGCTACATCTCATACCCAATATTTTCTTTCAACTGATTCCTTATCGCTTTGGATTCATTGATTACTATCACCACTTGTTTTTTCTTTTCTTTTCTTTTCTACGGAGCTCTCCTACTTCTGCTACCACCACCACCACCACCATCACTTCTCATTTCCAACGATATCCTACAACGTCGATTCCATTTGGATTTTCGAATTGACTCGAAAGTTCATACCTAGTACTTACTACATTACATACACACACTCGTACACACTTCCCAGTTCTCCTACTTTCTGTGCTTGACCACGACTCAAACAAATTACTCGTGACTCAACCAGCGATTCTAGGTCGACGATTCGACTAGGAGCTTCTCAACTTGCCCTTACCCTGCTCTCCATTCTCACAGGTGGACCACAAATCCCATTTGCTATCACGAGTACCCCAAATCTTTATCAAAAAAGGGTTTGGTCATAAAGACTTGTCAGTGATAGTGGGAGAAAAAGAAGAAGAAGAAAAAGGTTAGTTCTAGCTTAAACCTTCCAAGAAACCCTTGATAGTACCGACATAATTCCTTTTTAGACCTCAAACTACTGAAAGCTAAAAAAAAAAGTTTTGATTGGATTAATTTAGGTCTTTTGCCCGCTGGCTTTCCTCAAAATTGGAACGCTTGAGAATTATTAAATGCCTTCAGCCATTCATGCAGCGCCCCAGGACTTTTTGTCGTGTATGCTACCCACCATTTTCCATAATTTCTCATGGATTCTGTATCCACTAACGCTCCACTTGCAGCGGAATATCGACGTCAGTCCCAACTTTCTCAGATCGCGAAAGCGGCGGTTTTTAACAATTGTACCGCAATGAATCCACCCCCAAAACCTTCTTCTCAACCCCTCACTACATTTCCTGGCAACATCATCCTCGAACGCGATTTTGCCGTTTGCAACCCACAACTCGATAACCATATCACACTTCCACCATCTGCTATACCTGCAGTTTTAAATCGAAGTTTTCACGAGAAATTCGGTATGACTAGCGATGGAGTCATCGAGGGAGTTGGTCACCCTCCCTCTGACACACCTCTCCCAAGCGGTCCTTCAACTGCTCAGAGCAGTCCAAGAATGTCAGTCTATCTCCATTCTCACCAATTCCCCCTTCAGTCGATGAATAGTTTTCTATAGAATGTTCACGAGATTACCTGGGCGCAAAGATCTCAACAAAATTTTCACGCAGAACTCAATACTGACAATGGTATAGTCTCCCACTAAGACAGAATTCTGGCACTACAACTCCCCGAGTTCGGGCTCCTGCTACCACTCTCAACATTCCTGGCATGACCAGATCTCGCGTTTCTCCTGATGGTAAAATTGCACAACGAGATGTCGCCTCAAAATTGGTGGTTATCATGGTAGGATTGCCCGCTCGTGGAAAATCATACATTACGAAGAAAATCCAAAGATATTTGTCATGGCAGCAACATGAGACTAAGATTTTCAATGTTGGAAATCGACGTCGTGTCGCAGCTGGAAAACCGCGGCCGTTGAACGGCACCCCACTGAGAAACCAGGAATCGGCTCAACGGCCATCTGTTTCAAGTCAACCCAGTCGCACTGGTCCCAATGCGGGCGCTATAGATGCCCCTACACAGGCTGCTCACATGATTCTGAACGGCGTGGATCCGACCCAAGAAACCAAAGGTTCTGAGACGAAGAAATCTTCCACTGGATCGTCAAACCCAGAAACTATGGATCAATCAGCCAATTTCTTCGATCCAATGAATTCCAAGGCGGCTTTGATCAGAGAGCAGGTAGCCATGGCCACATTAGATGAGCTTTTGGATTTCCTCTTATTGGGAAATGGCGCTGTCGGTATCTTGGACGCTACAAACAGCACTATTGAGCGTCGCAAACTTCTTTTCGATCACGTCAAGTTCAGAGAGCCAAAGCTCGGCATTCTCTTCATAGAGAGTGTCTGCGAGGATGAGAGTGTACGTATATCATAATCTGTTGAAGACTCACTTGCTAAACATATTCTAGCTGCTCGAGGCAAACATGCGATTGAAGCTCCGAGGTCCCGATTACAAAGACAAGGATCCAGAATCGTCTCTGAGGGACTTCAAATTACGAGTAGCTGCGTATGAAAGCGCATACGTTCCTTTGGGAAAATACGAAGAAGATAATCATATGCAGTACATCAAAATGATAGATGTCGGACGAAAGGTTATCCATTATCAACTGAAGGGATTTTTGACAGGAGGCATAGCTTCATATTTGTCAACATTCAATCTTTCCCCAAGACAGATCTGGATCACACGACACGGAAAATCCAATGACAACAAAGTAGGCAAGCTTGGTGGTGATTCTGATCTTACAGAGGAAGGACAGCAATATGCTCGAGTTCTTCACAGCTTCATTACAAACAGTCGAAGGCAATGGCTTTTTGAGCAGCAGCAATCAGCTATTGAGAGTGCAAAGTATCCTCCAGGAGGCGAAGCTGTCAGAACACCACCCTATCCAGACATCATGGGAGAATTGGATGAGAAGAACTTCTGTGTGTGGACTTCGATGCTCAAGAGAAGTATCCAAACAGCGGAGAATTTTGAGATGGACGAAGATTATGATGTCAAGAATTGGGAAATGCTGAACGAATTGAACGCAGGTTCTTTTGAAGGCTTGACCTATAAGGAAATTGAACAACGCTTTCCAGACGAGTACGAGAAGCGAGCCAAAGACAAGTTGCACTACATATATCCCGGAGTTGGAGGTGAAGGTTATTTGCAAGTCATCAGTCGACTCAGGGATATGGTTCGAGAACTCGAACGTATCACAGATCATGTTCTTATCATCGGACACCGATCTGTTGCTCGAGTCCTGATGGCTTACTTTATGGATCTCACCAGAGATGATATTGCGGACTTGGATGTACCTTTGGGAATGCTCTACGCCATTGAACCAAAACCGTACGGCATTGAATTCCATGCATACAGATACAATGAACAACAACAATGGTTTGATGAGTTACCCAACTACAAACCAAGAAAAGAGACAGAGAAAGGCAATTAAAATTTGACTATTTATATGGATCGCGAAGAGGACAGCTAGAACACGAGCAGGGATGTAACATACGAGGGGTTTCCGGAGTTTTTATCATTTGGGATGAGTTTGCGTTGCACTGCATAGCGAGGTCTTGTTACAGATTAGGAGTTTGGGTTTTGATTTTCGGGGAATTTATGATTTGTAACAACAGTTGGGAGATTGGAACTGGTACCAGGGACTCAGAAATGTGGAAGTGAATGTGGTTGAGGTGTGCACAAGAATGGGAGTATATTTCTGGAGTCGGCAGAGGTCTCTTTCTACTCTTTATGATGGATGAAATTGCTTCAGCATTTATTACACTTCCGCGGATATCCAAAAAGATTGGCTTTGGTCTTGCGTTTTAAGAGCGAACCTACAATAAATAGAAGGTCAGACTACTTTTGTACAGCAAGACTGAAACAGAGAAATAGAAATTTCCGCAAAGCGAGTAAAATAGAAAATGAATATAAAAATGTAAATGTAAATATCATTTTAGTCTTCAAATATATTAATTTCGAAAGCCTCTGGTTGTTCGAATTGAATGTGGTTGATACTACTTGAATAAGTATCTAGTAGATATTGATACCTACCTACCGACAACATTAGTATGATCTTATTGGTAGTAGATTAACAATGATGCAAAGAAGTCGATCTCACCTGCCTTGCAACACCTGGGCAATCCTAGAAACTCTTAAGTGTACTAGTAAGTTTATCCGGCCGGACCCCTTCCCCCGCGCGTCATTTCTTCAACCCTTGCACAGGGTCACAATCACATTTTCAATACATACTGCAACTTAAATTTAGACGTTGAGATATTTACCACTCACACACTCTTTTTGTTTTGTTTTGCATCGCTGTGCTGTGCTGGATACAATTGAGTTGGCAAATGTTGTTTAAGCGCCTACAAACAGGTTGACTACGTTTAATATTTACGGTAGGTTTCTTGTGCTTTGCGATAGCTCCCCAGCGAGCACTGTCTTATTGCATTACATTGAATGCTCTTTTACAGCGCAATTCCATCTTGCCTTTTCACCCTGGCCGCATCCAGAATCAACAAACAAAAGTTATTCTCTTTCATCTTTGTTTCATCCCATCCTGTCGTTTTGGCTTTTTTTTTGTTCCGTCTTGTCTCGCACCAAAACACATTAGCTGACTGGATTGGGCATTTAGCAGATAAATATTGCTAGCTCTTTCACATATGATTTACTTCGAATTCGACCGAGAACTTTTGCAACTTGTCGTTGCCAATTCGAATCTCCTGGAATCCTAATTCAGAAGGGGGTTTTGAGGACGCATACTTATATGTCCAGAGCACATACAGCTCAATACCGCATTGCCAAATCGAAGAAAAATAGAAGATTAGTAGAACTTTCACATTCTTCAACACAAACGCGACAGGACATCTTAAGACAGGGAATATTGTTGCTTGAACAAATTCGAATTCTGGTAGAGTTGGAAAACTTGGGACGCTCAACAGGTTTGAGTAATCTTATAATGCCTCCAGCTACGAGGAAGAGAAAGTTTAGTGAAGAGAAAGAGGGAGAGGGCAAGGATAAGGGAGGACCTAGTGGTGCGCAGAAATATTACGCAGTTAGGAAGGGGAAGAAAACGGGCGTGTTTACTGATTGGGAGGATTGCAAGGAGCAGATTACGGGTTTTGGGGGAGCTATGTGTAAGTTTCTTTTTTGATTTTGTTCTTAGGAAAGGAGTTTGGGAATAAGCATGGAAATTTTCTTGTATTCTTTAATCGTGCAAAAAAGATACAAAAAATGCTAATTTAAGATGTCTCCGCAGATAAATCTTTTTCGACACAATCAGACGCAGAAGCATTTGTAGCCGGCAAAAATCCAGCGAAACCTTCAAAGGGAGACAAATTTTATGCTGTGGCCGTGGGACATGAAACGGGGGTCTATGAGGAGTGGGCAGATGCGAAAAAGCAAATTGATGGGGTCAAAGGGCCGAAATATAAGAAATTTGCTACGAGAGAAGAGGCAGAGGAGTTCGTGAGAGAAGGTGGAAAGACTAATAAAAAGGTTAAGACGGGAGCGGGAAAGGAGGAGAGTGGCAAGAAATTGGTGAAGGGGAAAGACAAGGTTACGGTGGAGGAGAAATCGCAAGAATTTGTTAAAGGAGACACTATCAAGGTCTGGACGGATGGTAGTAGTAGGGGCAATGGAAAAGTTGGGGCTGTGGCTGGATATGGAGTTTTCTTTGGAGACGGTGATGATAGGTATGTCCTTTCCTTCAAGCTCTCCGTTCAAAGTCCTTCACAAATATATTGACCTATCCTCTAGAAACATCTCGGCTCCCCTGGAAGGCACCCTTCAAACCAACCAACGCGCCGAACTCACAGCCGCGCTCCGCGCCCTCGAAATTGTACCATTAGATAAGAGCATCGAGATTATAACAGACAGCAATTACACAATAAATTGTGCGACAGTGTGGTATAAGAATTGGGAGAAAAATGGATGGAAAACTAGTACTGGAAAGGCAGTTATGAATGAAGACTTAGTGAAGCAGATCAGGGAAATTATTGATAAGAGGACGAAAGCTAAGGTTCAGACTAACATGACGTGGGTGAAGGGGCACGATGAGAATCCGGGGAATGTGGCGGCGGATAGGTTGGCTGTTAAGGGGGCAATGGAGAAGAACAGGTGAGAAGCTCTCCGTTTGAGTCTCTTGCTTAGCACTCCGCAAATTCTTGGAATTCCTAGGAAGTGCACCTCCTCATGTCACGAATATGAAGTGTGGGTGGAGTGAAAAGAGGATTGCGTTCACCGTGGGCTTGAATATAGACATCAAGCTGCAAAGGGAAAGTATTTAACGAAATGAGATGATACCATTCTTTAGTGTACTGGTTTCCGTGGGACTTTGGGTAGGCAGCCACTATTTTGTTTGTCCAATAAAGACTTTTGTGATACCTGATTATTCATGTCAATGTGAATGGTACCCGTTGATTGCACTTTTATGGTATGCCATTGATATTCAAATCATCCACATCTATGTAACCTTCACGCAACGTCGTGTAATTTTTCGTCAGGAAGGACAGAGTTTGGGGCTCGATCTAATAGGAACATGGAGGACCACTTCAAACCTCAAAGACAATGACCATTCAGATCTTTGATTACGTAGGAATCCTTTTTGTGATATTGAAACTCATTTTTGAATCTATATTGGGTTTCGGGTTAAATTATCTAGATAATATCATATGGAAAGTAATTTATTATCAGATTATTTCCAGTCTTTATATCGTATTTCGTCTCATGAAGCTCCCCTCCCCATACTCATCATAGATAGCGGAGAAACAACGTGCTCCAGGTTCTGTGGAGGGGTGAGCACACATGGCTGAATGCAGGGGGTTCAGTTTGTTGATAAGGATAAAAGAAAATCGTTCACCTCACCGATATCTAAATTTATTCACATGCATATTTGTTGATCAACCACACTCTTCTGCATGTTTGTATGAAACGGTAGTATTCAGCAATCACACGACAAGTGCTTCCGAGAACATTCTCTATCTGTTTGCGCACATCAGTATTGTATTCTCCAGATAATCTACCTACCATTTTCAACAAAGTGAATCGAAAGAATACATCTACAAGACACACTCCGCGGAACAAGGTGGCGGGCATTTCCAGAATCAATATTTCAAGAGAGGAAAAGGTTTTCAATGATTCAATAACACAGGCTTGGGATCTTAAGGAGGCTTCGAGATCGAAGAAGAGATTTAATCGTAGGGATTGTGAGAGTGACGACTCGGGCGTGGGATAATACGACGGACGGTTCTGCGGACTTACTGTCAAGGAAGGAAAGGGATATTTGCTGTGCAGAAGAGGACAGCTCAAGTGAGAATCGGAGACTGAGTGAGAATTGGAAGCTTCGCAGATTCAAAGGCTTGCAATTAGGCTCGCAGACCACAGGCACAACATACGGAGTTGTAAACTTACAAGCTTGGCTTATCTTGGCAGAACAAGAAGCAGAGTTGCAATCCAATTCGAAGATATATATCGAGAAGACGAGCATCCAGAAAATCAAAAAAGGATAGAATAGAACAGTCCAAGATGCCTACTATTTCGACGTCTAACTTCAACATTGTATGTGCCGTCCTTGGCGGATTCATTACTTTGTTTGGATTGGTATCTTATTTGTTCAAGGAGAAATTTTATCTTTCTGAAGCATGTATGTTTATTCCCTTTTTCCTTGCTGCTTTGGTTATTTGCAGACAATGGCTGATATGGCTTTAAACAGTGATATCCCTTCTCTTTGGCGTTGCCATGTCTCCACATGCAGCAGACTTTGTTCGCCCCCTCGATTACACGGGCTCTCTTGCAAACCTGAATGCAACCACCCTCGACTTTTCCCGCCTAGTCCTAGGCATTCAACTTGTCCTCGCTGGTGTCCAATTACCCTCTCGGTATTTGAAATTGGAATGGAAATCCCTCGCTCTCCTACTCGGCCCTGTTATGACTGTAATGTGGCTTACGAGTTCGCTGCTAATCTGGGGAATGGTTCCGAATTTATCGTTTCTGCATGCCTTAGCTGTTGGAGCATGTATTACACCTACCGATCCAGTACTGAGTAATAGTATTGTCAAGGGAAAATTTGCAGATAAGAATATTCCAAAGGAGTTACAAAAGATTATTGTGGCGGAGAGTGGGGCGAACGATGGATTGGGATATCCGTATTTGTTTTTGGCGTTGTATTTGATTAAATACACAGGGGAAGGTGGTGAGTTTTACTTTCAATTAATTCCCATCTTACATTGTTTATTTTGTGCTTATGCTAATATTTTGTCGTAGGCGCTGGTCAAACTGGAGGTGCTTCTAAAGCTATGGGTCTCTGGTTTGGAGAGACATGGGTTTACACTATTATCCTTAGTATTGTCTATGGAGCTACTGTAGGCTGGATAGCCAAAGAGCTCCTTCACTGGGCCGAAGAGAAGAAATTTGTGGACCGGGAAAGTTTCCTTGTATTCGCTATCACATTAGCTCTATTCATTGTGGGTACTTGCGGTATGATTGGTAGTGATGATGTTTTGGCATGTTTTATTGCTGGAAATGTCTTCACTTGGGATGATTGGTTTCGTCTAGAGACACTAGATGATTCGCTTCAACCTACTATTGATATGTTGCTGAATTTGAGTGTTTTTATATGGTTCGGAGCCATTTGTCCTTGGGCTTCATTTGCTGCCAATACCGTTATTCCAATTTATCGGTTGATATTCTTGGGTATCTTGATACTACTTTTCAGGTAAGCAATCTCTCCCCTTTGCAGCTTTCCACATTTCAAGATAGACCAGAAATTGCTTGTTAGAATCTAGACTGACCTCAACTTAATAGACGTCTACCAATGGTCTTTGCAATGCACAAATTTATACCTCAAATCGAGGAGAAACGACAGGCTATTTTCGTTGGGTTCTTCGGTCCAATTGGAGTTAGCGCTGTCTTCTATCTCTATATCTCACTAGAATTCCTCGAAACAATCACAGTAGATGGTGTTCAGCGCAAAGATGCAGAACATCTAGCCGAGGTCATTTCAGTCGTCGTTTGGTTCTTGACGATTTGTAGTATTGTAGTGCATGGACTTTCGATACCATTAGGCAAATTAGGCTTTTTCTTACCGAGAACACTCAGCAGAGCATTTACAAGTCAGAGCAATAGTCAAACGAATCTGGCTATTGGAGCAAGAGTATACAGTACAAACTCGGGTGTGTTGAGGGAGAGGAGAAGAGGAAATGCTAGTACAGATGCAAGTGGAAGTGGAACGGCGCATGGAAGTTTGGGAAGTGCCATTTCGACTCCGGCTTTGAGTTCGGGAACGAGCTCGAGACCGATCTATAGGATCGGGGGAAGCGTGATTCGTTCGGGAACTGCAAGGGGTGTGACGGAGAGTGGAACTGGGATGGACGGGGAGGAGGCGAGTCCCATTGGGATGATGGATGGGGTGGTTGAGGGGAGAACTATTAGGTTTCCGGATGAGGAGGTGCATGTTGCTAGTGGGATGGGAAGAGAGAGGGATTCTGAGGTTTAGGTTGGAGTCGGATGGATGGGGCGTGGGGTGACGGTGATGATGATGTTTATTGCGGGGTCAAGGGATGTAGGAGTCGTGCGGTGTGAATTTTTGAGGTTGGTGTCTTCTAGAATGGGAGCTGAGAATGAGGGGGAAAACATATAGGGTGCGTGATTTCGAGATTTGAAGATTGTAACGGACAGTGCTGCGATATTTTGCATTGCAATCTGCATATAGATCTTCATGCGGTAGTATTAGTACATATGATAGATTCTGACTAGAGCTGTAACGCATATATACATATTATATCACTATACTCAGATCTACATCAATGGATAAATGTATGCATGTATGTAAGATAAATTATAGGATCCACTATGACTATCTACTCAAAGGGGCCCAACCAAAAATGTACACCAAAATCCGTTCATCCACTTCGCTCCCGCTATGCTATGTAGTGATCATCATTCGTAAGGTGCAATATTATGCCCTTCAAAATCCCAGACTCCGGACCCCTAAAGCAGATATTCCCACGCACCCTCGTCATGACCCATTTACAACAAGCTCTCAACCATACCCCGCCAACCCACACTCACTCTCTACAAATTTCCTCTCTCCTCCTGCTCTCTCTCAATCGCCTCAAAGAGGCTCTTGAAATTTCCCGCTCCAAACCCATCGAATCCCTCTCTCTGAATGATTTCCAAAAAGACCGTCGGGCGATCCATCAATGGTTTGGTGAAAAGCTGTAGTAAATATCCTCCCTCGTCAAAATCAATCAATATATTCAATTTTCTAATCTCCTCAAAATCTTCCTTCAATTCCCACTTGATCCCCGAATTTTTATCCGAGAGACGTTCTCTCATCGTCTCATAGTATGTTTCCGGCACTGTGATAAATTCCACGCCCCGGGCGCGCAGATTCGAAACGGCGGTGATGATATCGGGGGTGCGGAGAGCGATATGCTGCACGCCAGCGCCGGAGTAGAAATCGACGTACTCCTCGATCTGGCTCTTGCGCAGACCGGGGGCGGGCTCGTTGATGGGCATCTTGACGACGTTGTTGGGGGAGGCCATGACGATGCTGTTGAGGGCGGAGTGGGCGGTGCTGATCTGCGAGTCGTCGACGGACCAGAAGCGGTGGAAGGAGAGACATTTTTCGTAGTACTCGCAGGCGGATTGCATGGCGCCCCAGTCTTGGTTGCCGACGCAGTGGTCGATGGCTTCGAGCGGGATGCTGGGGAGGAATGCGTGGAGCGGGTCGCTTTTGGAGGCGGGGATCGCGCGGTAGCCTGGGAGGAAGACCCCCGTGTAGTTGTTGCGGGAAATGAGGGTGTGGGTTGTGTCGCCGTAAGTGCGGATTATGGCGGTTGTCTGAAGATATATGAATTAGTATATTTCCTTCTTTCCTTGATACACAAAAACGACAGAACTTGGAAATACTCACAACATCCCCATCCTCATCCTTTGCCTTGATTGGTTTCTGCACACCCACTGCTCCCTGCTCAACCGCATTATAGTAAACACTCGCTACATCATCCACTTCAAAAGCCACATCCTTAACTGCATCCCCATGCTTCTCGAGATGTTCATATATTCCTCTCAGCAACTCTCTCTCCTTTTCCGTAATCGGTTCATCATCTTTGAGTGCCGAGTATGCCTTTACAGGCGAAGTCAAGACGAAACGAATCTTGCCATTCGCAACGACGTGCGAAGCGATATAGCGCGAACCGGTCTCGAGACCCTTGTAGGCGATGGTTTGGAATCCCAGACGTGTGCAGTAATACGAGGCGGCTTGCTTGGCGTTTCCTACATACCAGGTAATGTGGTCGTAGCCGTGGAAATTGGGAGTGTTGGTGCTGAGGGAGGAGTTTGTGTTGGCTGCTGTGGGGAAGGTGAGGGAGGTGGGGGTGAGGATTGGAGGAGTGACGGCGGAAGGTGCCATGATGTGATTTTGTGATATGAAGGTTTATGTAGATAGTGAAGAGATAGAGGTTGGATTCCTCTATACGTATATGTGAGATTGATGATCAGAAATGGCTTGAGAGTAGACGGCCAATCAATACCTTAAGTAATGGGGAGGTTCTCAGGAGAGTTTGTCGGAAGCAAACTTTGCTTGCAGATGAGTTTGGCAAAAGAGTCAAGTTTTGTTAACAAAGGAAGATGTTTGAGAAGAAGAGGAACTTTGGACTGCCAACAGCTCCTCTTCTTATGAAGACGATACATCTCGGTATACGGCGGACTAAGCCATGTCAAAACATAGAATGACCGCATAATCAAACAACTAGCTTTCACACCCACCGACTAATGAACGTCCAGAAATTAAACCGATCGCCATCCTTTGGCCTAGGATTGCTTTTTAGAAGTTGTTAGGGTTTCAAGTGCGGTTGATACTCCTTCATTCCGCGCGGTTTACACACGGTTGTGTTCGGCTTAAGTGTCGCTTATTCGCTTAGTCATTGCGCGGAATTGCGACGGTTTCACTGTACCACACCACACTACCATAGTCACGTTTTGGTTATACCGAACACCTCTGCATTCATGATCTCGATCAATTTAAATCTTTAACTTTTGAGTTGCTTTCATTATTAATAATCTTTCGAATACATAGAAAAGCCTTCCAAAACCACCACCTAGACAAATACAGATTTCCCCCAAAAATGACAACACTTACCAGACACGACCTCGAAGTTCTCGAGAAAATAAAGGATCCTGAGTCGGGTCCTTCAAATCCCCTCCTTATCGATGATTCGCTTCCCAAAGACCCGCATATCATCGATCTTTCTACATATCAAGAAATTGCGCAACGAGAACGAGATATCATTCTCTCGATGCAAGATGTAGAACTTCAGATGGCCGGGTTAAAGCCTCTTGCTGGACCCTCGCCGTTATCTCAATATCACGATTGCCTCCAGAGCTTGAATGATTTGATTGAGGAATGTCCTAATTATGCCAGTGCGAGGAACAATAGAGCACAAGCATTACGACGAATGTATGGCGATTTGATGTTGGTGAAGAGATCCTCTAGCAAAGGATCTGGAACTGATGTAAACGAACCTTTGGATACAGAAGCATCTGAACCTACCATAAAACTTGCATCATTCAACGCCTTATCCGATCTTGATAAAGCGATTTCACTGTTGGCTCCAAAGACGCCTTGGGCATCAATATCTCCTCGAGCGGCAAAGACACTCTCCCAAGCATTAACGCAACGAGGTGCTTTATATCATCTATCAGCTAAACAGCTTTCTTCTGATACTGAATCGAGTGTCAGAATTGATGAGCGGAGAAGGGAGGCGAAGTGGAAGACGATAGAATTTGAAGAGGCAGCATCAAGAGATTTCATGACAGGTGGAAGATATGGTAATGAGATTGCAAAGGCACTAGCAGTGAGTGCGAATCCGACGGCAAAGCTTTGTGGAGACATGGTCAGGCAGGCAATGAAGAGAGAGATGGGTGGCGGTGAAAATTGAATGAGAATATTGCTGTAGTAACTTGCTCGAGGCAAGAATGAGAAATGATTGTATCCAATAATGAAGGCAAAGGAGTTTTATGGTTCACGGTAGGGCATCCATAGCGATATAAATATAATACAAACCTTTTGGCTTAGAGGAGACGCCATCAATGAATCTTCTGAAGTATGATGTGGTTAGTCACCTCAACTTGCGTGCTATTATGACATTGTAACCAGTCTTGAGAATACCATTAGAAAATGACAATACTAAACCTGCTGAAGACCTTCTTGCAGTATAGGGATGAGAATCTTACCGATGTCATTGAAAATTCTCGCCCCGGGCTTTTATAATCAAGAATCAACGATTGCAGCGTGAATGTTCGGATTTAATCCTCCCAGAACACTGAACACAAGCGATAGTTCGGCTTCATCACCCGAGTTGAACCAAAACAGTAAAACATCGGAATGTCTGCAGTGTCTCTTCTCTGTAACCACTTCTTGATAAGGATCGTGATCACCCTCGTTTTAACCATTCCTAGACGATGACGAAAGAGGCAAAATAACACTAAACATTGCCTTTCACTTATCCGGTCACTTGTGCACCAACCAAAGTGTCAGTGACAATCACGTTGTGCCCATAGTATCAGCAGCGACTACCCGTGTGGTCAGGAACCACACGCACCGAGCCTGAAAACCAACGGGTGGCTGCTCCAAAATTTCCCGAAATACTGTGGCCGAGATTGATATGACAACCTTTTCAGTTCGGATGACGATTCTCAGTATTTCGTTTCGAAGATCTTAACTCTCAAATCTTCGCCAAACAGGCATCTGACTCACTGAGAAATGGAGTGGTCTGATGTGATGAAAGTAATAGGGGTAGAGGTCCAACATGGACATAGAATGAGGTGATTAACAAGACGGTTTCAAATGCTGGCATTCAATGGGTGGAGGTTAGCTGAGGTTAGCATGAATATGCAAGTGGAATATTGAGATGTATTTCGGCGGGTAGATACAGCAAAGCAGGGTTGGAAATGGCTTGCTTTGCATCTCCACAAGTATGGGATCAAAACTTTCCTCTCAAGTCCGACGGAAGTAGGCATGATGAACGTGGAAAAAACAAAATTTTCTTCTTAAATAAAATCTGACAGAGCTCATTTCCCCTGGTTAGATGGAAAGGATGTAAATTAAGAGGAATGAAAGAGTCAAATGATACGGCACGTTCTTTGGTAGTTCAACGTGTCAACAAGAACTCAGCTTCAATGCCAATCATCTTTTGGTGGCACAGTCGATACTTGTGAAACTCAATTGTATTATAACGTACGATATGTGACGCTTATGGAAGTACTCAAGATGTACCATGGCTACCAACTTGACATTTCGAGCAGCTGGTAAGCCCACCATACATAGATAAGAGGCGCTTAGCAGTTTCAACAAATCATTGAATCTCGCCAGGCCATATTGATATTTGGTAAGCTTGCTTGATTCGCTATCCTCACTTCGAGGGATAGACCTTTCAGAACGAAATTAATTCATTAAATTGATATAAACATATAATATTTGGTGATAAGATACATGGATTTTCCCAAATACCAACAAGAATAATGCAGCCCTGTGAATGATACAGTTGACCCAGGGCACGCAAAGCAAATCAGATGAGCAGTATCTGGATGATGGTAAATGACGAGAACGGCAGTTGGCGATCTTGGTTAGATCTGAACCACCGTGCAATCTGCGACTAGGGGTTTGTGATGATATTGATCAATGAATGGGTCATGCTGGAAACTTTTACCGGCCGACCAAAAAGACGATGAGTCGCACAGACTGCGCCCAGAAAGCCAGCTTCTGGCTCGATACTACCACACCAAAATGCAAAGAAAGATAATTGTGCCACTCGTGATATGCATTTGAGTCGCGTTCATCCAAAAGCGAGACGGACTGCTATGAGATATATTTGGGGACCCCGGTCTCGTATGCATGCAACAGAAGAGGGCCAGGCGCTTTCACCCTTATGTTATTGGAGGATCAAGCCCTTTCGCACACTGCACAAAAAGAAAAGCTCCCGAGACAGTTTCCCATCACCATGGTGGATGGTCCATTGTGGCGTGTTACCTGCTCTGCTGCGGTTTCCAGAATATGAACCAATGGAGTGAACGTGCATTATTTTGGTAACGAGGTAGGACTGGAATGTGATCCAACATCCCCAAGAAAATTTCTGCACTGAGTTGACAGGTTCCGATGATGGGTTGGCCGGCATTTAGGACGCCATGCCTTTGCCAGCTTCTGAGCGGGGCTTGGATCTCAAGGGAAGAAATCCAATAAGTTCAATATCACAGCACATGTTGGCAAGCATCTTCTTTGAGTCGAGAAATGGAGAGAAAGAAATTAGATAATTGGCTAATTGATATTTTATTTTGTTTTATTTTATTTTATTCTATTGTGATGTGATGTGATTGAAAAATCTGTTCCGCTTCGTACATTTGAGTCGGGTCGATATCGGGTAAAGTGTAAGACTGTAAGTGTACAGTATATATATTATATTTCTGCCGGGAATAAATCTTGCATTTTTAAACGGTTGTATAGATTGTCACGCTTGTATTACCCCAACCTCTTTGCCCGTCTCTATTACTGATTAAGAAAGATCCTTTATCCATGAAACACCAAGTAACTCCGTAGATTCCTTTTTCTCAGACCATTTGGTGGTCAAGCCATTAATTTCTTCCCAGACCAATGGAAATGGAACATGGATCAAATAGTTTGTTTCTCTTTACTTTCTTTCCTTTTGATCCCCCACACACGTAATACGGTAACATAGGAATAGATACAGATACTCATTTCGTGGCTAATTGTCCGCGACCTCTTCGGCACGATACAAGTGTGAGAAGACCAGAGAGCCGATAGCCTCCGTGATCCTGATGTTATGTAGCCTGTAGGTAGGTAGTTAAGCGTAGGTAGTAGGTATCGCAAGTGCTGGCCAATGTTGATCAGCATCAGGATTCGGCATATCTAATTTACCAAACGACTGGAATTCAAGGACCCGAAGCCTACTCTAGTACTCTTCCAGGCGAGTTCTGGTTTGGACGGACTTCGGAGTCGGTGGCTATTGCGGAGGACTAAGTAAGAGAGACTACTTCGTATATCACACAAGCATTATTTGCAGATTAGATTGAGCTTCTACATGCACATCTTGAAAAACTGAGTGGTGATCATAACATCCGAATGATTAAAGGATTCATTACGGGTATTCATCGCAATCATCGTAATCCAGTCAATTTAAATATTTATTCATTTGGTCGGATTCAGGGAGATCATTGCCCGAACGGGGCGCAGAAGATTGGTGACGCCAGCGGAAGGGAGACGAATAATACCGGTTCGAGTAAAGTAGGTTCCGGATTTTTGATCATGGAATTGTGGATTTTTGTCCGCGCATTCCTGAATACCTCGATCGGGGTACATGTCCGTGGCATGCAACTTCTCTTCGAGATTAGCCTCCCGCGTAGCTAATCGTATGATGACTACTTTAGTCCTATTTGATTTACCCGGGCTAGGGGCGCCAGTAAGGAACAGTAGGCTCTCAAATGAATGACTCGATCTCACGGAGTTCTACAGAGAAGTTGGATTGAAACTTTGGAGAGAAGCAAATACATGCATACATACTTCGCGATTAATTGGACTCAGAGACTCAGAAAGTATTCATTCAAAGCAGCTGGAGGATCTGCTCATGCTACTCATCATCCATCAATCGAAACTCGGTAGCACAATGAATTGAGGCTAATCAACGAATAATCAACGAGCACTCCTGTATCGTAGAAAGAAAAATAAAAGACTGCTAAACTCTATCTTCCTTTGGATGAAAGCTTAATCGTTTGACATTCCGGAAGCAAACTAATCGGAAATGCTTCGAAATTTAAACGTTTCCCAAGAAATGCAGAGGTTTAGACGAGAAATTGATGCACGGCTTATGCGATACCCCTTCATTCTCCTCAACTTATTTTGGGCAATATTTCCCTGGTCTTTGTTCCCACAGCTGCAGCATCCGCAGCTGAGATTGTCAGAATTATTATGGGGGTGTTATTACTATTACCGTCAACCAGATTTCCTATCTTCTAACAAGGTTTGACATAGTGGATTCGCTGACCATTGACCAGGCCGTGTAGCCGTCAATCTAAATACCCGCACCACCAAATCTACGCTACTCGCATCATCAAACCAATGAACATCGATCTCGGCTGAGACAAAAAAATGCTGGAGTGGGCGAAAAAGGAAGGGGATTTTTGGAAAGACAGGAAATTTCATACCCAAACATACGAAAATTGCGATGTTGAAGGTTGAAGATACGAACGATACCAATGCAAGAAAGACGGAATGACTTTGTATCCGTATTTGCAGAGAGAGGGAAAGGTGCACATGCTCTTTTTATATAGCAATGTCTTTCATTACTGCTTTTGATTCACGGGTATGGTAGTATGGTGTACGTCGCATTGCAGAGGAAAGAATGTATGGCCAGGCGTGCGAGGGAACGAACTACCTTTGGGCTGGGTAACGGAATGAGCATTGGAGAGCCCAAACGACTTAAGCCCTGTCGTCCAGCCTGTCGAGCCTGTCACGTCCCCTGTCAAATGCATGCTTGGTCGAATTCCAGTCATTTTCCTCTTCCCTGGATTGGTGCAATAGGATCCAGGTAAGTTACATTGAGATGGAGTTGAAGTATGTATGTATGTATTTGTAGAGACAGAGCACGGAGTATGTATCGATATGTGCGCCATTGGTAGCTTGTCATCCAGTCATTTTAGATCCAGCGAGCCAGCCTTTCCCTTCTGCTGAACACCACCTTTGGAGCCTTTATTTGGAGAGTCCTACATAATATCGTGTTGTGTGTATGCATTACATTACATTACCACGCTAAAAGCGGGCAACCAAGATCACTTCCCTCAATACTTTGGTAGTGGCAGACTGGAATACACTCGGGCCCTTTGAATTGGTCTCTGGTGCTAATGAATGAACTAAAATTCCTGGGGATCGTACAAGCAACAGGGCACAGCTTTTCTCCTCCCTTTCGATTGATTAATGGGCCCTGCTTGTGGACCGGGAATAATAGCGACTGGAACTGGAAGTGGAACTCGAACTGGCTAGGATTGTGATTGGGATGACCCAGCAATTCCTTACTATTATCTTTGTCGTGCAGTAGATAGGTAGTTAATTCTCGACTGCTGTATCTCTTCTTCGTCCTCGAAAACTTGACACCACTCGACTTCACTCGACATCACTCACTCGTCGACGACTCCATAGGCAGGCAATGGTATGAAGTGATCGAGCAGAGGCAGCCAGAGAATACAGAACATCTTTGTCGATATACTTATTTATCATTATACCTATACTCCGTGTCGAATCAGCGGGAAGATACTCCAGTAATATTCCATCGGGAACACTGGCAGATTACCATCCTCACCATCCTCCCGAACTAAGCGTCCCTAAGCTTTCTAGCTTATGTTGAATAGTAGCCAACCACTAACACGGCCATTCCGATCTCAACATCCCTTCCAAATAGAAACCACTTGGAAAAAAACAATTCATTCTTTCATCTGGTAACTTCTGAAGTTACAACAGTGTTCTTACGATTAATTCAAGCCTCATAAATATCGCAGAAGTTTGAAACATACAAATCTAGGTACGCATTTGACTCGATAACGCATGGTCGCTTCCTTACTTTAACCTTCCGATAATGTACCCATTAAACTGGGTGTCGGGACCAAGAATTAAATTCCCGGTCACTGGAAGCTTGATGGCTCAAGGCTAACGACGAGAATATAGCATATATCATAATTTTGTTGAAAGTCGGCACCAATGGCTGAACGAAACATTTCTATCGCTTCAAATCATTTTAGAGGGAGTGTGGACTCCAATATGGCTGCGTCTATAGGTCCCAAAAGCATGCCCGAAATAATTACGAGGACGACCAAAGGAGGGAGGAAACTGAAATATACATTGACTGTGATTCAACAACCTGAGCGTGCGAGAGCATGTGGCTCGGGAGCAAAATGTACGTCGGGCTTTCTTTCAGTGAAGGGGCCAAATAATTGTTGTGGAGACTAATATCGTTCTTAGCATCTGCCGATCGACGTCCAGTCGACCCTCCTCCCGTGGTTCAACTTCGCATTTACGATGAAACCGATCCACGACAAGAGAAGGAGATAACATTCCACTACAATGCAAACTTCTTCCTCTTCGCAACTTTGGAGGTAGCTCGGAATATTGCTCAAGGTCGTGTACAAACTTCGGCTCCTCAAGCACCCGTTTTGACGGGCATGCCAGTGTCTGGAATGGCCTACTTGGACAGACCCAATGAAGCTGGATATTTCATTTTCCCTGATTTATCTGTTCGACACGAGGGCCAATACAAGTTGAGCTTCAATCTCTACGAGGAAACAAAAGAGGAGAAGGATACCGACATCGAACCTTCGAACGACCCAAGCATGCGAAAGATGTCGAGCGCTGCGGCCGCTGCCGAATCGTCTTTTGATTGGCGCATGGAACTCAAATCTGATCAATTCACTGTGTACAGTGCAAAGAAATTCCCTGGTCTTTCCGAAAGCACTGATTTGAGCAGAACTGTTGCGGAACAGGGTTGCCGTGTTCGCATTAGACGTGACGTGAGGATGAGAAGAAGAGATACAAAGCCTGGTGGTGACTTTGGTGAAAAAGAAGATGAATATCAGCAGGGAAGAGCTACATCTCCACCATTTGATTACGCCATCCAAGCTGCGAGGCAAAGAGCTCTGAGTGCAAGCGTTCATGAGGATCCACAACAGAGGCGTGGATCAGGGGAAATCTCACCATATCATTCGCCTGTTGTAACTACCCCATTTCGTACGCCTTCAATATCTCCATCGACATCCAACTCCGCTGTTCCTGTTGGTCCCCAGCTTGGCTGGATCCCGAATGGACCTGGCTATGCCGCTGCTCCGAGTTTCCAACCACCACATCCACCTCCGCCTCCACCCTCATCCTATCCACAGCCAGTGTCAGCGACTCATCCTAATCAAGGCCCATCGACGCAATTTCGTCAGCAACCTCCCCAAGGCCCACCTCCTGCACCTATTAGATTTGATGAGAGGCGAGCTTCATACAGCCAATTCCGTCCTTCCACAAATCCTCCTCAACAGCAATCGTATGAACAAGACTACCGAAGAATGTCCTTTGGATATCAAATCCCTGCTGCACCCCAAGGCCCTCAACCCATCGCCCCTGCTGTTCAGAATCCAGCTTATAATCAACAATCAATGGAGCCTCCTTATAGCCGCAATCCTCCTTCTGCATACTCAACCAGCCATCAGGATTCTGTCGCTCTCGCACCACTGAGGGGTGAGCAGTCTACAGCCATGTCTCCTCTTGCTTCGGTAACGACTATTTCACGCGGGACGCAAAACTCGGCGCCAATATCAAGCCACAAACTATAACAAGTTGGAGAGATCTGGGTCTTACAATCAATATGCTCCCATCGAGGCCGAGCCACCAAAATCGAGTAATAAGAGAAGCTTCCATGATGTTTTCAGTACTCCTACTGAATCATTACACAATGGTAGACGACCAAGTGCTATTTCTGCAGAAGACGAGCAGGAGGAAAGCCGCAGACTGCAGATGACTTACAGACGAGCCGATGGCAACATTCACCAGAAACCCGCCCCCGGACTCAACTAAACTGCACCAAGCTTAAAAAGTTTTCAGCAACAGCGTCAGTCACGATATTTTAGAAAAGGCGTCTGATTGACTTTTTCTCTACACGCCTTCGAACTTTTTTTACACCGTTTTTTCAAAATACGATTCTGAAGCTGATTTTTACGATACCAATTTGATGGGTATATATATATACCTCGAAGTTTTTACACCTCTTTTTCTATACGATTCGCGTTGTTATTTACACGTATTTTCGCACGCTTCTGGAAAAGCATACATGGCACTTCTCCTTATGATATCTAGATGGCGGAAAGCATTGACTTTCTGATACCATTGTATTTCTTTTGTTGGTACATTGAGCACATGTGGGAAATTTGCATTGGATGAATGAGACGAGAGGTTGTGGCGGGCTGAGATAACGAGCAGACTCCTTTTTTGAATGAGATGGATGGAACCGAACGGAATAGGATGGAATTGCATAGAATTGAATACCTACCTACCTATATGAAATGAAAGATTAAAACTGGACAGCTTTACACAATGAATACTACAGTAAATATGGTCAATTGTTCTAGAATCTGTGAATATAAGTCATGACTATCTTCTCATTTAAGGGTACAGGACTGAATTCACCCTCTCACCTCCAGGTTTTCCGGACCACAGGTGAGCTGGCCCCATGGATTTCAGGGCTGAAGCCGTTACTGTAGATACGATGCAGGTACAGTTTATATATTACGGCTACTAATGAACTAATGCTCGACATGCACACTTAGGCGTATAAACAATGGCCTGCATGAGATCATCGAGGAAATTGACAACGTGGAAGACGGCTATTTGGTGGTGGGTATGAGCTATAAGGGTCAGATTTGGATATACTCTAAGAGACTAAAGATATATATATCTATCTAACGCATGACAGTATTGATACTGTGTTCGCACGTTTGTGACCCTGAAAGGATAGCTAATAGTTCAAAGTTAATGATTGACAGGTGATATGTAGATAGCAGCTAGAAGGTAACAGTAATAACCAACTCACAGCTGCTAGCGACTAATAGCTAAGAAGAGCTAATCGCTAATAAGAGCCAACAGCTAACAGCGGTGCAATGATAAGTGAATAAAACTGGTGAAGAAATGCTTAAATTCGCAATCAAAGTTATGTTCCTACTCATTACCCAAGTATCTCAATGGATAGATAGTATCAATGTATAACTACAAGCGCGTAGAATTGAATGGCTGGGATCGCCCGCGTATACATACCCATATGTAATTGTGTATAAACTAATTTCTTGGCAACGGTTCTTCGGTTTATTGACATACTAGTTAATTGCCTAGGTTACTAGGTTACAGGTACCTCCTAAGCTTAACCTTAGCCACTCACTTTTTTTGTTTACTTTCTACTCAAAGGAGAGTCAAAACTCGAACTTACACTCGGCCTTCCCCTTCTTGACTCAACCCAACAACGTGTTTCCTGCGTGTTCATGCAGCGGTGAGACTAATTTTATAACTCCCCATTTTTTGTATGCAACCTGCACGTTGATATCAACAAGAAAAAGGAAACACTACGAATCAAATTCCAATTAATGCGCGAAATCCTTCGAGGATTGGGAAGACTTGTAAGACATTCTGATACGCTATTCAAGCTACCTGGAAATAGAGGTGCATATTCAAAATCATATTGATCACCTTTATTTTCCCCTCTCAAGTTCAGCTCTCGTTTTCGATCTTCTTTCTTCTTCGCGACCCTTTTCGTCCTCGTCTTCGTCTTCGTCCTCGTCCTCGTCCTCGTCCTCGTCCTTCTCCGTCTCCTCTCTCTTTCTGCTTAGAGTTCGACAAGCAATCACCTTCATTTGAGCGCGTCAATGTCACCGTGTTAAATATCCGTACTTGAGGATTGGCAATGGCGAGTTACAAGGTTAGTTTTCAACAAGAACCCCAGATCCATATTTCAAACTCAATTGATTATATGCACCTTCCCCAGTCCCGAGAAAAATCATAATAAAAGGGTCGAGGTATAACAGTCACTAATATTCTAATTTGTCAGACTCCTCGCCGCCAGTCAATGGATCATCCCATGGGCGAGAGTCCGTTCGATGACGCTAGGCATTCCATTGACTCGAGACCGGATTCGAAAGGTTCGAAGAGATTGTACAGTAATCGCAATGCCCGACCGACAATTCTAGGAAACGATGGCGAAGGTGGATGTTTTCTGGGACCTGCTTTCGATAACGATGAGGAGTATCCGGACGAGAAGCGTCACCGCTCTGAAAACTGGCCTTTGCCATCGGCGCCTGTCCCACAGGAGGCAGTTGTCCCTCCGTCTCGAGTCTCTTCACGCGCTCAAAGTCGAACAAGTCAAAGAAGTCGAAGATCTACCGCATCTCCCCAACCTAGTCGACCTTCTCTCCAGAGATCTCGTCCCTCGAGATTTATGGAAGGTAGTATGAATGATAAAGTCAGTAAACTTCCACCGACACCATACCTTTACCATGAAGAGGAGCTTCGTGAGCGATACATTGAGGACGAGCTTATGGGGAACAATGGCCAGACGACTCCAGGTAGAAAGATGGCGAAGCCTCGCGGATTCATGCTACATTCAAACGTATCCATGGGTGCAGAATCCTCGCTCGCAGGTAACTCCGATACTTCTCGACAATCAACCATATTTCGATTCGGTAGTAAGATTGCAGCGTCAATCAAACCGTCCAACTGGAAGATATTCTCAAAGTCGCAAAAGGTTCCAGAGGAAACACCCCAACAACGAGCGATACGAGAACAAAAGGAAAAGGCAGAAAAGATGTACCACGAATTGAAGACAGACAATTACTTTCGAAAACGTGCAATTGTTCAGCAGCCAGGCTTCAATGCTGTCAGACATTCTATGGATCAAACGCCACGAATTAAGCATGATTCTGGAGTCGAATTGAACGACAAATATCATTCTCGAGACAATTTGCCCTTGGGAGATAAGAGGCAGAGTAGACTCAATGCCAGTACTCAAGACTTTTATATTGACAGCCCCGGCTCTAAGATGTCTGCCCCTGTTGATGCTTCGACACCTCGAAGTATTTTCCACCGAAAGACACCATCAATGTCGAACCTTAGAAACATGACGAGTAGAGAGTGGATGTCGCGACCTGCCTTTCCAGAAGATCCTCGATCTGTAAGAAAGGTTCCATCAAGAAAGGAGTTTCAAAGACAACAGAAATTGGTCAAGCGTGTCAGTGATTTGGAGACAAAGCTTGAAGAAGCTCGTCGCCAATTAACGGATACTTTCGCAAAGCCACTTCCTAATGAGCATATCTACCAACCTCCTGATTTCCAACAAGAGCGATCGTATCAGCAGTCATATCAGCAACAGCAATCGCAATCTCACCCCCCTTCAGCTGACCGATTTGGTAGAGCACGTTTCGTACCCGGTGCTTTGGCAACCCTTCCATCCGAGAGACTTTTGAGCGGTTATGTTAATCCTACAGCGGATTTCAATGATAATGAGAATTTTTATAACATTGGAACAGCAATTACTACGCAAGACAGTATGGATCATATTTCGACCGGCCCAACCGATTTGTTCAAGACGAGCGAGATACGTCCTGTACAAACAATTCAGCCTCCTATCACAGCACCGGAGGAGGGATCAGAGTATGTGTTATCTAGCATCGAATCTGAGTCTGACAGTGAAATGTCTGATGTCCATAATGCCCAAACGATTGTCAGAGGCGGATCTGTCAACGGTGCCAAGATGGCGGTTGAAGTCAAGCCTGCATCTTCACGTATTCTTTCACAACAAGCATTTATTGAAGTGCATGCTTTCGAAGCAAAGGCCGACCAACCTCGTACAGCGAGGAAGAAGAGCGCAGAGAAAGACGGAGCTTTTAGACCTACACCCGAATCTGAATCTGAATACGAATCTGGTCCAGATCTTGATGTCAAACCTCTCAAGAAAGTCAGAAGTAGCCGAAATCGCAAGTTTATCAATGAGAAGAGTCCTTACACGGGGCCATCTTCTCCCGAAAAGAGAGTCGTTTCTGATGGTACACATAAGTCAACAGCCCGACAACCTCTTCCTGGCCGTGGAACCGAGAGACCCAGAAGCATACTTGTAAAACTCAGAATTCCCAAAGATTCACCTCTTGACAATACTGATGGTGATTCTCTCAGCTATACTAAGACGAGAAGAGCTTCATCTTCACAATCCGAACCTAAGGTTGATAGTGCTGACCAAGGAACCATTCTACCGCATACTTTTTACGGAGTCCCTCCTGTACCCAGAACCCCTCAACATGTCCGACTTCCTAGTGGCGAGATGCTCAACACGAACGAGACCCGACGGCAACACACTCAAGCAAGCCAAGAACCTGGAGATTGGCCCGATGACCTTGAAATCTTCTAGTCAATTCTCTCATCCTCAACTATCACCACCATACATAACAGCACATACAACCAAAAGGCGACCTACACACAAAACCCCACGAGGAATATACCCCCAGCAAGATCACCAATTTGACATCACCAGAATGTGTTACGAGTTTACGACAGACATGATGATTGGATATTGTATTAATCTACTACGAAATTCACGACGTTTTTTTGCGCTTTTTAACGGCAGTACCTACCCCTAATAATTATTTCCCTTCTTCCTTAAGTTTTCTTTTGTTTACATTTCCTGACTCTCTTTATGAATTATATGAATGACAAAGGCGTCTGTCTAATTTTTCCCATTTGCGAGGGCTTCATTGCATTTACATAGCATGGCACGATAGTCAAAAGCGACTGGGCGATTTGAGCGAGCATTTTTTTGTTTTTCATTGGGCATTTTGATGCATATGAACTTCACAGGCGACTAATTTGAGGAAAGGGAGGATGGAAGGTTGGGTTGGAAAGGGGAGGGGAGGGAAGGAAAGGAAAGGAAAGGCAAGGAATGGGATGGGATGGGATGGAATACCTGGCAAATTTTCTTTTCAAAAGGAATTCATTGTCCATTCGATTTCAGTGTCATTTTCATTTCAGAAGGATGAAATGGAAGGTTGTGTATGTGGTGCAATTATGATTTGCATCACGATCTATCTCTTTTAACTGTCTACTTAACTACTAGCTACCTAATTCGATTCGATACAAACATCGAATTTCTCTTCATCCATCTGTACATTAAATACCTAGGCTATCCCAGGAAAACAAATCCCGAATGTTAATATGAAAAGAGGATTCCGCTTGTGATGTGATGCTGTCAGTGCATGGTAACGCTTGCTCACGTGCTCGCTTTCCAAAAATGTCCGCTAAATTGACAATTGAGACTTCCTCCCACCCATCATACCATATTTCCCATTCCATCCTCCAATCCATCCTTCCTATAACTATCATGTACAGGTAAAGCCCAGGAACCAACGAGCCCCAACCCCGACCAACCAACCATCAGCACCAGCACCACCGTCGAAATCCATTCCATTGCAACTCATCAAATCATCATGAACGCTAAAACGCATAATAAACAAAGCATAGATTGGCCGTCATCTCTAGTGTGAAGGCGATCGAGGGGTAACGGACGTAACGTAAGATGAATAAGAAAAATAAAAACTCGTAATAAAAAGGCTAGCGCGGATGATCGCAGAAAGTGTTGTAGTTTTTGTAAGGCATTATAAAACTTCCATAACACGTCCGCGATCTTCGTTTCGATTTGTAAGAGAAGTGAAAATATAAGATGCATGGGACCAAACGGTAGCGATACGAGTGTGAAATGTGGCGAGCATCATTACGAGAAGGAGAGGAATCTGTGGAGTTTCGTTAGCCTCGATTATGTCAAATGAAAGAGTAATACGGTTGGGAGGGGGAATTGAAAAACAGAACAAAAATGTGAACATACCCAGATAAGGAATAGCTTCCTATCACTCTTGATCCTCTTCAATTTCTCCTGGCGTAGTAATTGTATCTGGTTCTGCTGCTCCACGGTGACTATTTCCTTTCCGCCAATTCGAAGAGTTCCCATAGGCATCGGCTTTCTTTGCGTAGCAGTTGTTGAACTTTCTGCACGTGCCACAGATGTGGTTGTTCCAACCTGCATTTCTATTTGATCAAAGATTTGAGTACATTTGCTGTCAGCAACGGTATCTGCGACTGCTTGTTCTGCAGAAGCTCGTTTCACGTCCATATCATTTTGTGGGAATATATCTTCGTAAGCAGGTGGTGCTGCAGCTGCGTTACCAGAGAAAAGATCCCACCATTTGTTGCCTTGTTCCTTGGCACCATCTTGACGATTGGGACTTTCTGGACGGCTGCCGATACGACGGGCCATGGGACTTGGTAGATAAGCTTGATAATCTGGAAGGTTTGCGAGTGTAGGCATTTGTGGCATCTGAGGCAGGTTTGGAAGACCAAGATGCATGTTGTTATGGAAGGTTTGCTGAAGGTGCTGCATCTGAGCGGTGAATTGTGTAAATTGTGCGAACATCTGATCTCTGAATGCAGTCATGGCCATTGTTGGGGAGGCCATTGCTTCGTCTGCTTCGACTTCGGGTAGTTCCAAAATAGGAGGTTTAGTTATCTCGATAGTCTCATTCAGAATCTTTGAAGTTGACCCTCTAGATTGTCTACTTCGCATCAAGAATGTCCCATCGGCAGTATCAACATCAGCATCCTCGTCCTCGTATTCATTGTCATCCTCATCGTCGCTATCACTGATGCCGCTTTCATTGGGTATCTCTGCAGTGGGTGGTTGCCATAACGATCTTAATGATGTCGCGCTGCTTGTTCTACTCTTGAGTGAAGAACCACTTCGTGTTCTTGAATGATGCTCTACTCTGCGAACGGCACGATGGACTTCCTCAGAAGATGTCATATCTGCCGGAGCATAACCTTGGAGACTTCTGATCAACGGATCGGCACCGCTCAGGATGAGACGTCGAACGATTTGCGGATGGTTATGAAGAGCAGCAAAATGCATAGGAGTAAATCCACCTTTATCTCGTGGTTCACAATTCACGTTTCGCGCCAACAAAGCGGCAACGAAGCGATGCAGTCCCAAGGAACAAGCAAGATGAAGCATTGTTTGCCCAGATGTTCTGCGCAGGTTGAAACGCGGCTTGGTCGGACTGTCGTCAAGATCAATGAGATCTAGGCATCTCAATAGCGTTGCTTCAACATCAACACCAAAGCTTGCCGCATTAAATCCACCACCGTGCTGTGAGGATCCACCCCCGCTAGGTGGAGATTGGCCTGATGGTGCTCCCCAAGGACCATCCACAATTCTTCTTGCAAGATCACGCACATCTTCCATTTTGCCAGTCATCTTGTGACCTAATACAGCCAACGCTGTTCTAATTATCTGCTGTTCGTCATCATCTACATATTTGAAAAACGCAGTTTGCTTTGGCATTGGTGGTGTTGGATATTGCTGTCTCTGTTGATGCTGATGTTTGAACGTGACAGGTACAGTTCCAGCGATTGCAGAGGGCGGCAAGAGACATACTAGAGAGGTCTCTCCCCAAAATGTTGTTGTTGTTGCTTTAGCATCACCAAACATGACTTCCAGCCCTTGACAGAATCCACTACCCAAACAGGTTACTTCTATTCCACCAGCCTTTGGCCCTTCATTTGGTATTAGTTTATGAATCACGGGTGGCCGCTGTGGACTCAAAGTCAGAGGCATGCCATACATTCCATTGACAACAGCTTGTGGCATATGAGCTTGTTGCTGCTGCGGCTGATAAATCTGAACATTATTGCGCATGCCATTCGGACTGGGGGCACGACTAGGATGCGCTGAAGGGGGCGCTGAGAAGAGCTGATGCATGGCCAAACTTTCTGTTGGTTGAGGTCGATGGCCATGAGGAATGAATATCTGGTCATTACCATTCGGAGTAGGAGGGCCTGTGTTGAAATGTGTTGGGATATTTTGCATCGGAGCAGGAGGGCAAAAAGGCTGCTCATTTGATGAGAAATTTGGAAGGTTTGGTGTGAATGGGGAGGGTATAGCTGAAGTGGTGGCGCTGACCGGAACAAAAGGGCCATTGCTCATTGCCGGTTGCCCTGTCTCTAATTTGGTCATTGCTAGACCAGTGGGAACTTTACCAGAGGCACTGGCTTTGCGTTTCTTGGACAGTGGAGGACCGGATGGAGTCGAGGGCGATGCTTGTGGCGATGGATGCCGGGGTGCCATTGTGGTGGAAATTGCTTGAGGCGGGTTGGGTGGTGGATAATTCATTGGTTGTGGATACGGCATGAAGTTTTGTGGCAGGCTCTGAAGATCCGAGGCGGATGGCGATACACGAAAGGGGGCCATGCCAGAAACGGCACCAGACGTCATATCGTAGCTTCTTTCATTCGAATATGAAGTCGAACCTGGATACATCTGTCCGTCTGGCGCACCAGATGCCTGTCCGGAAATAGGTAATAAGTTATGCGTCTTATGATCATCGGTAATCATGATTGAAGAGGTGATTGCTTGTGCAATCAGGCGATCTTGATAGTCCTTGATCGTAAAGATTACCCGAAACCCGATCTTTTCATTTTGGTGTCTACAATAACATGCGATTCGCATGGGAGCATCAACTTGCAAAGCACCATCAGGGACCATAGGTTCAGGTCTGTCCCCAGTAGCTTCCGAGGGGGGTTGGCTTGTTGGTGATTGCCAATCCTTGACTTCATGGGTGTTGAACACAATGACTCGCTTAGCCTCGTCTTTGTGCCATGATTCTTCTTCTTCGACCTTCTTTACCTTCTTTCTTGCGGCGCGTTTTCTCTCACGCGTAATGCAGCCGCTACATATCAGCACCTCGCCTCCATTCAGTGGTTTTCTGTCGTCCTCTTCATCGGATCCATTATCCGAAGACTGACTTGGTGAGACTTCAGGTGCTGCTGCTCTTTCTAAAGCTCTTCGAAGAATATCCGGGTTCTCCATTGCACTAGAACAGACCAACATCGTATAAAGCTCCAAGGTGTCAGGTGAGCGTTCCGGTGGAGGCTTGACGAGAAGTTTAGGTTTGGAGATCGTTTGGGTTGGTAAGTGAAGCTTGGTGACACCTTGGGGGACAGGGAAAAGTGTCATTTTGATGGGAATTTGAGTCTCGACTCGTGATTTCAATGGTGTGGGGTGTATTGTCAAAATCGGCTTCGTATTTGGGGCGCCCGGAATCTGGCGGCCCTTGACTTGGGGTGTGTTTTGAAATGATAGGGGGTTAAAGTGTGCTTGGGTTCTCATTATATTGGGAGGTATTTCCATGCTATTTGTCCATGGTGGAAGACCATGAGCCGCGTTAGACATCGTCCCAGACATGAATTCAAGCCTAACATTGGGAGAGGGTGAGTTAGTGAACATATGATGTGCAGGGGACGACACCTGACTTGTCGACGCTCCAGACAAGGGTGACGTTTCCCTCGAACCGATATGGTATCCGTTTGTAGAGTGAGCTACCGAATGTTGCTGTCATTGGTATATATATTAGTACACCTGTATACATGAAATGGTAATGATTGATGATTGACTTACAGAGTTTGATTTGTTGTGACTCCTGAATTTCTTCCTACCCATTGGTGATATTATCTTCCGAGGGGTGTCGTGCTTTATAGCCGGCATTTCTGGTGATTCCATATCCATTGCTACAGCAAAAGGGCTTGGACTACTCGACGCACTATCAAAGTCAAAATCATTCTCCATGGTCTTGTCATTGAAACCAAAATGATTAACCATTGCTGAAGGATTAATGGTCCCGTTCCCAGCGTAGTCACCATAATTCGACATACTCTCCCCTTTGATCACATCGTCGCCTTTCCAATCTCCCATATCAATATCGTCACCTATCATTGCGGTCCCCGAGTGCAAAGCAGACCCGGACGAATCGGAACTAGATTTTCTATTG